CCCCATTCCCACCCCCATTCCCATTCCCTTTCCCATCCCCATTCCCTTTCCCATTCCTATCCCCGTTCCCATTCCTGTTCCCTTTACCATTCTCATTCCCGTTCCCATCCCCATCCTCATTCCAATTCCCATCCCAATTCCCTTTCCCATTCCCATTCCCATCCCCAATTCCCATTCCAATTCCCATCCCAATTCCCATTCCAATTCCCATCCCCATTCCCATCTCCAATTCCCATTCCCATCCCCGTTCCCATTCTGTCCCTGCTGGCTCCAATCCAGCCTTGGATATTCCAGGGATGAGGCAGCCACAGCTGCTCTGGGAATTCCTTCCCAAATCCCACCCCAATTCCCCTTTTCCAATCTGGAGCCATTCCCTGGCTCCTGCCCCTCCAGGCCTTTCCCAAATTCCGGCTCTCCCGGAGCCCCTCCAGGCCCTGGAATGTTCTGGAAGCTGTCCCTGGATCCTTCCCTTCTCCAGGAGAACATTCCCAGCTCTCCCAGCCTGCCTCCAGAGCCTGACATTGGATCCATCTCCTCTGCAAGGAATTGATGGACCCAGGGCCTTCCCTTGCAATCTCAGGAAGCCACCAAGGCTCTCCCTTCCCTTTCCCTCTCTTTCCCATCCCCATTTCCCAGAAAAATCCCTCGGCATGGATTCGGAGCCTTCCAAATCCCAGAATCCCGGAATGCTTTGGGATGGGATCCAGGGACCTTCAATCCCATCCCATTCCAATCCCCCCATCCCAGGCTTCTCCAACCCTTCCTTGGCCATTCCTGGGATCCAGGGGCAGCCACAGCTGCTCTGGGAATTCCAACCCAGCCAGGAATTCTTTCCCAAAATCCCATCCATGCCTGCCCTCTGGAATTCCCCCTTATCCCATCACTCCTTTCAGGGCTCAATATTCCAAAAATTCCAGTTTTTCCAAAAAAAAAGCAGGATTGAGAGAAACTTCCTGCTCAGCTCCAGGAATTGAATGTTTTTATTACATCCACAAAATGGATTTATTGGAATTGGTTCCATAGGAGCTGCTTCCCTCGTGATCCCTTTGTTCCCAAAAAAAAAACCGGGATCTGAGCAGAGATTCCATCAGTGAGGATGAGGATGGAGAACACAGGGAAATCCATGGGAGAAAATTGGGAATGAACTGGAGTGGGAAACAGACAGGGAAAGGTTCATCCTCTGCTTCCTGAGGGAAATTGGGAATTTTCTTTGGAAAGGTTCATCCTCTTCTTCCTGAGGAAAATCGGGAATTTTTCCTGAGGGAAATTGGAATTTTCTTTGGAATGTTTTTCCTGGATAAAGTTGATCACCTGCACAAAGTCCAGCCCTGAGCAGCACCAAAATCCAGCACCAAAATCCAGGGATTTTGGACTTTCCATCTCCTTATTAAAATTAATTTTAAAAATTTAATTCTTAAATCTATTAAATTTATTAAAACTAATTAAAAATTAATTATTTCATAATTTCCTGCAAGGCTTTTTAAAATTTCTTTAATTATCCAAGTGGAAAATTAGTAAATAAAGAAATAAATATTAATTAATAATACTAATTCTTAATAATAATAACTAACTCTTAATAATAATAATAATCAATAATAATTAATAATAATTAATTAATATTTGGCTGCAGAGGTTTAATTTGTCCTGAATGATTTCTCAGTGGTAATTCCTGATTTATCCCTTTATTTTTATTTTTATTTTTTTCACAGGATTCACTACAATATTTTCTACTGTTTGTATCTGATGGAAAATTCCTCTGGAATTACTCAGCCTCCAGAAGAGGGAAGAGGGGATTTGTGTTCCAGGTATCCCAGCAGTGCCCTGAGGGAATTCCAGACATTCCCTGGGAGCAAAAATTCCACAGCAGGAAAAGATGGAGATGGAGCAGCTCCACAACTCCTCCTGCTCCTCAGCACATTCCCGGGAATTATCCCAGGAAAAGCAGGATTGGCCCTTCAAGCTGGAAGTTTGGAATTGCTGGGTTTAATTCTGTGCTGGGTTTGTCTTGGGATCAGGGAATGGTTTGGGATCATGGAATGGTTTTGGATCATGGAATGGTTTTGGATCATGGAATGGTTTGGAATGGTTTGGGATCAGGGAATGGTTTGGGATCTTGGAATGGTTTGAGATTATCCAGTGCCCCCCCTGCCATGGCAGGGTCATCTCCCTCCATCCCAGGCTGCTCCAAGCCCCAATATCCAGCCTGGACTTGGACATTCCCAGGATTTGGGGCAGCCACAGCTTCTATGGGAATTCCCAAATCCCACCCCAATTCCCCTTTTCCAACCTGGAGACATTCCCTGGCTCCTGCCCCTCCAGGCCTTTCCCAAATTCCAGCTCTCCCGGAGCCCCTCCAGGCCCTGGAATGTGCTGGAAGCTCTCCCTGGAGCCTTCCCTTCTCCAGGAGACCATTCCCAGCTCTCCCAGCCTGGCTCCAGAGCCTGACATTGGATCCATCTCCTCTGCAAGGAATTGATGGACCCAGGGCCTTCCCTTGCAATCTCAGGAAGCCACCAAGGCTCTCCCTTCCCTTTCCCTCTCTTTCCCATCCCCATTTCCCAGAAAAATCCCTCGGCATGGATTCGGAGCCTCCCAAATCCCAGAATCCCAGAATGCTTTGGGATGGGATCCAGGGACCTTCAATCCCATCCCATTCCAATCCCACCATCCCAGGCTGCTCCAACCCTTCCTTGGCCATTCCCGGGATCCAGGGGCAGCCACAATTAGTTTTACATGTGAGGATTTCTTTGAGGGATTTTGAAATCGTTGGAATTTTGGGGGGGATTTTTCCTAATTTTTTCTAATTTTGGGGGGATTTTCCTAGGGATTTTTAAGGATTTTTTCATTCCTTTCCTACTCACCAATTTGAATTTTTTCCCTGTTTTTTAGTGGATGGGCCGATGTCAAACTGACCCATGAGCAGCAGAGGATTTTGAATCATAAAATCGAGCCTGGCCAGACAGTGAAAATCATGGCATTTGCAGGTAAGAGCCCAATAGATATAAAATAAATAAAAAAATATATATAAATATAAAATATTATATATATATCACATGTATATTATATGTAAAATATATATAAAAGTAGATCTAAAATATATTTATAAATACAAAATATATATCTCACATTTATTATATATAATATATAATATACATATAATGCATGAAATATATATAGATATAAAATGTCTCACATATATAATATATATAATATATATAAAATATATATAAAATCTAAATAAAAATCTAAATATATATAAATATAAAATATATCTCACATATATTATATGTAATACATATAATATATATAAAATATATATAAAAGAATATCTGAAAATATATACAAATATAAAATATATATCTCATATATATTATGTATATAAAATATATATAAAATATATAAAAATATATATCTCACATATTATATATTACATAAAATATATAATATATTTATATATATTAAAATTTATAAATATATATAAATATAAAATACATCTCTCACATATATTATATATAAAATATATATATAAAATATGTATATAAAATATTTCTAAATATGAAATATCTATATATTTCATATTATATATAATATATGTATTATATATAGAAAAATATATCTAAAACTATACATAAATATAAAATATATCTTCCATACATATAATATATATAAATATATAAAATATATATATCATATATATTGTGTTATATATTACATATAATATAATATATATATTTATATATATAAAAATTTATAAATATATATAAATATAAAATATATTTCTCACATATATTATATATATAAAATTTATATATAATATTTCTAAAATATTTCTAAATAAAAAATATCATATGTATCTTATATATATATGTATTATATATAAAAAAGTATTTATAAAACTGTATATAAATATAAAATATATATCTCACATGTATTATATATAAATAAAAGTTTATATAAAAATATATATAATATATATCAATATAAAATACTAAATATATCTCACATATATTATATATATAATATATATATAAAAACATATTTAAAAAATGCCAAAAATAATAATAAATTTTTAAAAATAAACATATAAATACATAAAAACTACTGGTAAATTTCCCAATCTGCTCCCTCCCTTCCTGATCCCTCTGTCCAAGGGATTGTGAGATTCCAAAGGGATCCGTTTGTGCCTCTGGGAGAAGAAATTGAAGGGAAATCTGCTGGAAATGGAGGCTGGATAAAAACAGGGAGAGAGGAGTGGGAAATGTGGGACAGCCCTGCAGATCCCAAGGCTGGGAAAGGAGGAACGGGAGATTCCAGGTGCTGGAGGGGAGATTTCCCTGGAATCCCCGGAGTAGGAGCAGGTCCTGAAAGGCTGAGCCCGTGGAAAATGGATCCAGGCTGGAGCAGGTCCTGAAGGACTGACCCAAGGAAAAGGGATCAGTTCCTAAAGGAGTGACCCCATGGAAAAAGGGATCCATTCCTGAAGGATTGACCCCATGGAAAATGGGATCCAGGCTGGAAGAGCCCAATCCTGAAGGACCGACCCCATGGAAGGTGGAGCCATTCCTGAAGGACCGACCCCATGGAAAATGGGATCCATTCCTGAAGAACTGACCCCATGGAAAAAGGGATCCATTCCTGAAGGATTGACCCCATAGAAAATGGGATCCAGGCTGGAAGAGCCCAATCCTGAAGGACCGACCCCATGGAAGGTGGAGCCATTCCTGAAGAACTGAGCCCACGGAAGAAAGGGATTCATGTTGGAAAAGCCCAATCCTGAAGGACCAACCCCATGGAAAAAGGAGCAGTTCCTGAAGAACTGACCCCAAGGAAAATGGGATCCATTCCTGAAGAATTGACCCCAAGGAAAATGGGATCCATTCCTGAAGAAATGACCCCATGGAAAAACTGGATTCATGTTGGAAGAGCCCAGTCCTGAAGGACCAACCCCATAGAAGGTGGAGCAGTTCCTGAAGGACCAACCCCATGGAGAAAGGGATCCATTCCTGAAGAAATGACCCCATGGAAAAGGGATCTAGGCTGGAGCAGTTCCTGAAGAACTGAGCCCATGCAAAAGGGATCCATTCCTGAAGAACTGACCCTGTGGAAAAACAGGATTCATGTTGGAAGAGCCCATTCCTGAAGGACCAACCCCATGGAAAATGGGATCCATTCCTGAAGAACTGACCCCATGGAAAAGGGATCCAGGCTGGAGTGGGCACTTCATAAAGCTGGTCCAGGGAAGCTTTAGGATGGATTTTGGGAAAATTCCTCCATGCCCCAGGCAGGGATGGAATCCCCATTCCATAAAATCCTCTGGATGGGGACGTGGGTGGCCTTGGAAGTGCTGGGAATGCTTGGGCTTGACCTTAA